AGAACACTTAGAACACTTTGAAGAACATATCCTTTGAATATCCAAAGAGATTCTACTCAATCCCCTCCTTATATCCAAGCAAGGCAATTGTTTTGATTGCTAAATCATTTCTTGCTTGAGTTTTTCCTCATTGCTTGAGTCTTTGAGAGATATTGCCATATTCTAAAGGACTTCATTGTATTTGCAACAATCTACTCCGTGTTGGGAGAATTACTCGGTTGCGGTTTGTTTTCTTACTTTATTGTAAGGGATTTGTATTCTTGGTGTTGGGATTACACCAAGTGGTAGAAATCCTAACGGTTTGTGAAATCAAACGTTAGGTGGAAGAAATCCTGAGTTTTGTGAAATCAAAACTTCGGTGGTAAGATAAGAGGCTTGTGAAATCAAGTTCTCGAGTTGTATTCGGATTGTCAAACTCCGTTAAGTTTGACGGGTTAGTGAAGGCCTGGGCACGATTGCTTCGGGGACTGGATGTGGGCATTTAGGCCGAACCAGTATATATCGTGTGTGCATTGCTCTTATCCTTGAAGAACGTTTCCGCGCAAAAAAACTGGTCTTTTGGGCAACACCTCTATTCACCCCCCCTCTAGAGGTGTGCGAGGCGTCTAACACTGGGATCATCGAAATAATTTGTAAGCCGGACCTAATGTGTATCTGGATATCCTGTAAAAGTCCATAAGAGTAGAAGACCCGGCCCATACGAGATACTCCCTCCGTCCCCCAGTATTTGTCCACTTTTTGACTTTTGGAACTATTCATCTAAGCACTTTGACTCATCAAATTCTCTCAATGTGTAAGCCTAAATATAGTCATGTATGATCTTGTTTGATTTGTCTTAACATATAGATTATTAATATATAATTTTATAATTTTTTAATATACAAATTACAAGATAAAATAGATTAAAGAAATGCATTGGATGGTGTGTAAAAATGAAAGTGGACAAAAACTAGGGGACGGAGGGAGTAAGAAAGATTTGGATCGAGTCCAGCTTGAGACCGAGACCATACAGTGAGAGGACTAAGTCCTGGAGGACGCCAAGATAGAGAAAAGATTGGGCTGGAGAGCCGGTCCAAAGAAAGGAACGGGCCAAGATGTTAGCACAGTCCATTCCTTGAATATTAGGACAACGCCTCCGTGGAAGAAATGGACAAAAGTCCTACGAACAAGATTGAGGCAGTAGGGACGGAGGCCTATTTCAGTAATGGGACGTCGATTTGAGTACATTTATTGTATCCGATCCATTTCCAACATTTATCTACTCTTATATTCCTTTTCTTTTACTGTTGCAAGGCCAGACAATTTATATTTGGACTTTGGACAGCCCAATAGTCGCAGGGAAAATATTAGCGATTCATCGAATATTCAAAAAAAAAAGTGTTCCAGTCTTAAAGAAGAACCTCATCCTTCCGTAAGCGAGCCCTATCTGTAAGATCAAAACCAACCCACCCTCTTGATAATAGATTGCGAGCCACTCCCTTCACAATGTTCATCCAGCGAGTCCAAAATTTTTCCTTTGGAAATTAGCTAGCCTCGTGACACAACAAAGGGAAGAGTGTTCTCGCGGTCCATCTAAACGACTCTCTTGACTTGTGTAAGCCCTCTCTAGATTCTCAGAAGTAGCCCTCACCTTTGCTTCGTCTCCATCATGGGCATGAACAGATCTAGAAGGAATTGTGACAATGTGACGTATCTAAGACTCGAGCAAGCTTAGAGGAAAAGAAGGAGATCTCAGGCATCAAATCACTATGTCAAAATTGGCATCATCAAAAGAATCCTACCATCAGAGTTTGTATTCGAAGGCTCCAAAAAGTTCTCGTGGATAATGGAAAATCATGGGCACCTTTGGAGAAGTTAGATGCAAACTCTCACGTTGTTCAAAAATTGATTGGATGTCTGAACAAGGAAGAAGATGCTTGATACTTCCAGACCCAACGGGAGGAAAGCCAAGGCCAAAAGGAGGAGGTTGAAAGCCAGAGATAGGTCTCCGTCCAAAAGAGGAAAAAAAAGATTACCTCCCGCGGACAGAAGAGGCTATCTAGGGAATGCTCTTAGAGCCCCAGCCAAGATATAAGGGAGATCCTCAACTTGAAGAAGGATATGGAAGTGCTGAAGAAGCACGTGAATACGGATGGATAGGTGAGACCAACTCTTGAGGTAATATCTCCATTTTTTATTTCGGTATGCCGCTCCGCGAGAGAACCAAGTGGGCTGTGGTGATGTCAGAATTTGCACAGATAAGGTTATGAAGGTGAAGCTACCTCGGGGGGGGGGGGGGGGGGGGNGGGGGGGGCTAAGGGAACTACTAACCCTAATGATCATCTTTAAAGTTTATCAAACTTACATGTTGATGCATGGAATGAGGGATGAGATCCAGTGCCGCCTTTTCATGGGGACTCGAGAACTGCCGACCATGAATTGGTTCCTATCAGAGCCGGCCCTAAGAACTCGATAGCCTGGGCCAAGACAGAAAAAGAGGCTCTTAAGATCTTATTTTTAA